TTGGTCCTGTATGGTTCTGTCATGCCAAGCATCTAGAGCACGGTGCGCGTTGACGAAGGAATTTCACACAGTAGAGGAACACAAAAAATGAACTATATGGTGAAGCGTTGCCCAGACCCTTAGCACTTCTGTACTATAGTGTTCAACCGCCATGCCTTTGCGCGACCAACGTGACTATTGCCTTGCAGGAGGTCGGGGAGCATTTTGCCCAGTAATCGCACAGGTCTGTCATACCATGGCCGACTCTAATCAATCGCAAGCCGGAGGAGCCATGATGCATCTGACTAATCAGCCACAAATAAGGTTTGTTTCCGGGGTGCTCGCCGTGCATTTGTAAACCCAGCGACGGCATTCACCACAACAGAAGAAGGCAAGCGTTGGTCCCTGGCGACTGTTTTGTCAAACCGCATCCAACGATCATCGGAGATGGTTTTGATGCCTGTCACAATCACAAAGGATAACTCCTAGCTTTGACTGAAAGGACGCGTTGTCGTCAACATGCGCCTCAACCAGTTGTAACCCAGTTTTGGATTTTTTTTTCAGTAGAAGCCTCGGCGTGGTTCCTAATTATGGATTGTTGTGGTTGTGCCATTTCGCTTCGTTCAGCTCACCTCAGTGCGGCGAATGGACAAAGAAATTAACAGTTCAGCCCTAACTCTGGCAAAAATTCTAATTTTACTCATTTGGTAATTTTACTGATCCAGAAGATTTTACGCAATTTTTTGTTGATTTTATCAAGATTAGCAAAATGTAACAAAATGTCAAAAAAACACCAAAAGTGCAACAAAAATGCGCCAAAAGATGTGCGATTGTTTTTCAAGTTTCCATGAAGTTGATATAAGAGGTAGAAGCAATGTGCAAATATGTGCAAATATTGTTTAGGGAGGTAAAGAAATTTGCATGTGGAAAATGCATAAGGACATGTATTTGGTTGAGTTAACACATATAACCTAAAGTAAAGTCAGAATTTAACCCAAGAGCAAGAGCCCCATGAGGACCTGGAGACTTCAGTTCCTGGTGGTATCGATCCAGCAGATGTCAGGGCTCTCAATCGGCTTGTTGAAGCCTGCGGCATGGAGATTGTTCCGAAGGGACAGTCAAAGAAGAGGAGCAGGAGTAGAAGAAGACGCAGGAGAAGAGACACTAACAGAGTTCCCACATGTCAGCAGAAGAAAGATTGCAGCGTCTCCAGGGGTTGGACCTGAAGACACAGAAGACAACAAGCTCAATGAGGACGGATATGAGTCAGGTGGTCAGAATGACCTGGGCATAGATTGGCATAGATGACGACCAGTCGTCAGTTGGACTCCTTCGACATTTCAATGCTTGACTCTTTGAATCCATGGGTGGGAAAAAAAGGTGCTGCAGAGTGTTTGGGAATCCAACGAACTTTACTTGAGAACATGTCCAACGAACTTCACTTGGCAACATTTTCAAAAAACCTTACTTGAGAACATGTCCGATGAGCTTTACTTGAGAACACGTCCAATGAACCTTTCTCCATAGAATCTTGAGCAGAATTAATCTTGGGAACACTTCCAATCAGCAAACTTCACCTGAGATGGCTGTTAGTGAACTTTACTGAGGCTGCACTGATTGAACTTTACTTGACACTGCTGCCAGTGAACTTTACTTGAGGCTGCTGTCAGAGAACTTTCCTTGAGACTGCACTGAATGAACTTTATGTGACACTGCTGCCAGCGAACTTTATTTGAGACTGTGCTGACTGAACTTTACTTGGCACTGCTGCCAGTGAACTTTACTTGAGACTACCGTCAGAGAACTTGACTTGAGACCGCACTGAATGAACTTTACTTGAGACTGTGCTGAATGAACTTTAGCTGACACTGCTGTCAGTACACTTTACTTGGGGCTGCTGTCAGAGAACTCTACTTGAGACTGCGCGCAGTGAACTTTACTTGAGACTGTGCTGGATGAACTTTACTTGACACTGCTGCCAATGAACTTTACTTGGGACTGCACTGAATGAACTTTACTTGAGACTGCTGTCACTGAACCTAGCATGGGACCGCACTGAATTAACTTTACCGGGGGCTACAGCTAATGAACTGCACCTCAACCAACATTCAATTTTTCCTCAAGTTTTTCGTTTTGAATATTGTTTTCACATGCATTTTTGGCGCACTAAAACAGTGCATCAAACGTGCATCAAAAGTGCAAAAGTGCATCAAAAGTGTCTAAGTTTTTTTCCAGGCTTCATCCCTTTTAAAAAGAAAAACAATGAAAAGTTCTTCAAAGATCCGTTTAATTTTGTCATTAATCTGGCACTGAAAGTAAAGCAAGGGTCTCACTGAGACTTCTTTGATATATTTTTTTTAAGGCCAGCCACCGGTTTATCAGGATTTCATTCAAATCCCTGACAAACTTTGTGAGAAAAAGGCCCACGCTCCACACAATCCAGACTGATTCAACAGAGTCTGGTTCAATGTTCTGTCTTAGAAACACGGTATGAAAAATGTAATGTGGTCCTTCTTGCTTCTATACCTGACCTGCCTTCATCTAACCTAAATCTACCTAAGACCTTCTCTTTTCAGAGTGCAAGGCTATGAATTCATTGGCAAGCGTCCAATGTAAGTTCCTTATTTTAATTCCACTATATTTATGTTTAGGCTTGCTATATATAGCAGCTGACTCATGTAAAGCTCAGCGCATTCTTCTATGTAAATTCAACTTTCTTAAGTGTTGATGCATGGCTACTTATTTCATTATGTGTAAAGCTCAATTTCAATTCATTCAAGGATATTTCCCGAGAGCGTTTGAGCGCAGGGTTCTTCCAATAGTGGGGGTCTGTAAAAAATCTTCTCATCTTCACATCTTCTCATCTTCATATCCTTTCATCCTCACATCTTCTCATCTTCACATCTTCTCACCTTTACATCTTCTCACCTTTACATCTTCTCATCCTCACATCTTCTCATCTTCTCATCTTCATATCTTCTCATCCTCACATCCTCACATCCTCACATCTTCACATCTGCTCATCTTCACATGCTCACATCTTCACATTCTTCTCATCCTCACATCTTCTCATCTGCACATCTTCTCATCTTCATATCTTCTCATCCTCACATCCTCACATCTTCACATCCTCACATAATCACATCTTCTCATCTTCACACCCTGACATCTTCACATCTTATCATCTTCACATCTGCTCATCCTCACATCTTCACATCTTCTCATCTTTTCACCTTCACATCTTCTCATCTTCACATCTGCTCATCCTCACATCTTCTCATCCTCACATCCTCACATAATCACATCTTCTCATCTTCACACCCTGACATCTTCACATCTTCTCATCTTCACATCTTTACATTCTCTCTTGCCCTCTTGCTCTCTTGCCCTCCTGCTCTCTTGCCCTCTTGCTCTCTCCTTCTTGTCTATTTCTCTCTTAAAGGCGCGGGGCAGTGCCAACGAGACGGCGCGACAAGCAACCCTTTCGCACGAAATGAGGTTCGATCGCCAAAAACTGAGGTGAAATTGCGATTTCTAGGCCTCCGGCGCAACCCTTTCGCACGAAATGAGGTTCGATCGCCAAAAACTGAGATAAAATTGCGATT